TGGTACTAGCCTCACCAGTGCCAGGATGTGATGAGATGTAAGTAGCTTCCTAAGCATCCGACAAAGGGAAGGGTGCATCTCACTAGTTTTGGCCTCCACGTATTGCGGTGCTGCTCAGTCACAATAGCGCCCTCCACCTTATTTTGCGTTTTTTCATTTGTTCCAATATGTTATTATCAGCTGATTTTGATATTCTTCAAGTTTGCATCTGCGCCTTCCTGACCAAATTCTCCGTTTTTTCGCCACTGACTCAAACCTCCGTCTGATTGCGTCAAGGTGCAAGCAGGACGCACAATTCTGTTATAGTGGAGGAATGAGCATACTGGCAATGCAAACAATTTCCGGTGCTTCATCGTCAAGACTTTCGCAAATGCTGTATTTCAAGTTTTGACTTCGGAAATCCTTCGACGTTAGCATGCAACGATACGAGCATGCCGATTTTGCAGCTGTTGAAATGCTATCACACGAGGAACTGCGCCTTTTTTCATACTTGAATGCAGGTATCCTGCACTTTGGTGTCCCATTATTTGAAAGCGATGCGACACTTCCATCCTAAAAATTACATATCTGCTGAGTTTTATAAAATCAAACATTCAGTAGCCCTGTTGCTGCTCGTTCGCAAAACAGGAGTGCTTCTGCGCAGAATTTGACAACGTGTCAGCTGTAATCTGGCTTGCAAGATGTCTAAAGCAGTGCTGTGGGCAAGTTTTGTCTGGAAACAAATGCTCTCAATAAAAATAAAATTGGTGCCGGGTCTTTACTTTTGATACCTTAAGTCTTTTGTTCCTGCTTCAGTACGATATTCTTAACCAGAACCAGTGCTCCATTTTCTTTGAGCATTTTTTTTCTGTGCTTTTGTATATTCGCTTTTACAATTTTTTATAAAACCGTTTTCGATATCCCTCTCCAGTAACTTAAACCTGTTGTTTTCTGATCAGAAGATCGAAAGCAAACCTACGCTGGAAAGCACCAGGCTCTCTGGTGCGATCATCCGTTTTTGCAGCAAACTCGCAGATCGCTATTAGCAGAAATGATCCCTACGCTGTAGCCTAACATTTGGGTCATATTGGCGTGCTTTGATCCTTTCCGGCATGCAGGAGGAAAGGCGTCAATTGGGATGAAGGTGGTGCATTATAGAGCCGCACGGACATCCAGCTGCATGATTACCGTCTTTTTGCATGAAGTCCGGTTGTTTTTTCGGTAAATGCTCGCTTTGTGAAGAAATGACAAATGCAAATTTTTTGAAAAAATGCAAATTTCCAGTTCACTAAAAGTTGGAATTACTGCTCGAAAGGTCGTTTGTCAAAAAACCCATGTTCATTTACATATACAATTAGGTCCAGGTCCGAGTTGCTAACGATTTTTGGGATCAGGAGCTGCTTGAGGCTGTGGTTGGGCTAGAGAGCTGAGTTTAAAATCTTTAGCTCTTACGTGCATAGAGAATATCCCTGCAAAGTTTTAGCTTTCTGCCTTGCCTGGTTCGCAAAATCGTTTCCCGCTAACATATTTCTTTGGAGTCCCGCATGCGGGGCCCAG